CCCAAGCTATACGAACGGTCTAAGTACTAGCCAACAGCTAAATGAAAAAAAAAAAAAAAAAAAGGTATACAAACACAATGGAGTTTTATTTGGCAGTAAAGAAAACAGCCCAGGCAGTGGTGGCATACAAGTTTAATCTTAACACTCAGGAGGCAGAGGCAGGTGGATCCCTTTGAGTTTAAGGCCAGTGTGGTCTGCAAAACGACTTCCAGGACAGCCAGGGCTACACAGAGAAACCCTGTCTCAAAAAGCCAAGAAAACTGAAATCCTGTCATTTGCAGCAAAAATGATGACCCAGGTGGACAGAGTTGAAGCACAATAAACCCGGCACACAAAGATAAGCATTGAACATTATCTTTCCTAAGTTGAAACCAAAAAGCTCACCCTGCAAGTACATAGATGATTAAAGGGGCCCACCAAAAAAGGCAGGAGGAAGGCAAGGGTGGATGGGCTGACCCTTCCCCAGCAATTATCAATCAAGAAAATGCCTGCACAGACATGACCACAGGTGAATCTACTGGTGGCAATTCCTCAAAGAGGTTACTTCTTCCCAAGTGCCTAGGATTTGTGAAATTGACAGCTGCCCATGCTAACTATGCCCACAGTAAGTGCCCGCCCCCCAGACAGGGTTTCTCTGTGTAGCTTTGGAATAAGTACCTTTTTTAATGCAAAGTTAGCATTTTCCCTTTAAATGGCCATCTTACAAAGCGGCAGAGCTGACTGAGATGTTTTTAGTTTCCCTGAAAGGCAGAGTAGCACATCGCAATGGAAAGAATTCAATCCTGAGTTGTTGTGTCTGCTGCCCTACTGTGTGACATGGGGTCAGGGGGTGTCATTTGCTCTCTCTGAGTGTCAATTTTCCTATCAGGACATTTATTGTCTTCCCAGGTGTCCTGGGCTAACACTATCTCTATTCTCCCTGTTAAGGACAGTGGCTCTAGGATTGTCCTCTGCCCCTTTCAACTGGGTCTCCAGTTCTCACTAGCTGCTAGGATTTAGATCATCGCTCAATGGGTGTAGGCTTTCCCAGGAGAAGGATTTCCTGACTTGGGTGCCTTGGATTAGGTTTAGATCCTGAATGAGAAGCCTGACTGGGATCAAGCCAGGATCAAGGTGAAATGGCAACAAATAAATAAATTGATTTTTCTTTGAGACGAAATACATTCAATCTTTAAAATTCTTAGATGGCCTTTCCTGTTTGTACACTAGATTAAGAAGAGTGAATGTTGTTGTTTTCTTTTCTTTTCCTTGTTTGAGACAAGTTTTCTCTGTAGCTTTGGAGCCTGTCCTGGAACTCTGTAAACCAACCAGGCTGGCCTCGAACTCACAAAAATCTTCCTGCCTCTGCCTCCTGAGTACTGGGATTAAAGGCGTGTACCACCACCATGTGTGAATGCTATTTCTTAAAATGTCTGTAACTGGCCAAATAAAACAGAAATTTTTTAAGACTTGTCCCTGAGATGATTAAGTCCACACAAAAACTTTCTGATTCTAAGGCCCTGAGAGTGGAAAGGTGTGAGCAGAAGGTACAGGCAGTTTAGAGGTGGATCATTCTCCTTTTAATTACTCTTTCCCTAGGGTGGTCGGCAGTACGGTCTCTTTGAACCAAAGACTACCATGAAAGTCTATTTGGCACAGCAGTACCTGTTGAATCCTGTGGGCATCCCAGGACTCAGAAAAGACTGGCTTCAGGTTCCTGGAGCTCTTTCTTAAGCAAACTGGGACCACCTGCCCACAGCATCCCAGTGCTTGCAGCAGAACAGTGAATAACAACAAAGGTCCCCACCCCATGTTTAGCTTGCGGTCTAGTGGCAAAGTCCAAGGACACCCACCACGACAGGGTGGACACAGCAGGTTGCAGGCCTGGCTTCCACTCTCTGGTCCTAGTTACTAATTTTGGTCTTTCTAGGCATTTTGAAGTCTTCCCCAGCCCTTCATGCTTGAAATACCTAGCTTGGGAATGGTAGAGAAGCATGGAATGAACCCGAAAAGACACAGTTTCCCAAGAAAAGAAAGGCCTGGGTAAAACAAACTTTCAGCTGAGCATGCCTCTGGTACTGATGGCAAAAACCAAACCAAACGTCTCCCAGAGAGGACCCTAAAGAAAGCCATTACCATCCGCGTGTGCTCATCGGCTGTGTCTTAGTGTGATGGAATACCGAGTTCAGTTCCTAGCACCTACTTTGGACTAGCTCACAACTACCTGGAATTCCAGCTTCCGGGGATTTAAAAACCTCTGTGTTCCACAGGCACCTGCACCAATGAGCGACGCGCACACACTTTAAAACAACTCTTTTTTTAGAAAAAGAAAGATTTTGGCTCACAGTTTCATCCACGGTCGATTATCTCCGTTGCTTCCACTTGGAGAGGAAGAGGCAGCTGGTCAGGTGTTCCCGAGAGAGGACAAAGTGTTAGAGGAGGAGCCAGGGTCCTGAAATGTCTCCCTTCCAAATAGGACCCGCCTCTTAAAGGTTACACCGGCTCCCAACAGTGCCATAGGCTGGTGCCCACGTTTCTCACACCTCTGTGAGACCTTGGCGATCCAAACCAAAATACGCAATTTCTGGTGTTTCTGCAACAAGGGAGTGCTGGTTTTGAGACCAAGCTGAGGGCAGATGACTCAGCCTAAATATCTCCTTGAATTCTCCAAGACTGCCTCCTGGAAAATCCCAGAGTTCTTTGCCAGAGAACTTCAGCAGGCCACATCTGTGCTCTTACCATTCTCTAACGCCAGCTTCTAAGATGAATGGGCCGGGCAGATGTGCCCATTTCAACCATGTGTTTTCACCAGACATCTTTGTCCGACCTTAAGAGGATAGGTATAAACTCCTGATGTGACATTAGAGAGGGCAGCCCCAGCACAGACATCAGAAAACCCAATAGCAGGCCAGACGGATGCTTTTTATTTATTTGGGGCTGGGGGGTGGGGGTGGTACACAGTGAGCATCTGGAAGTCAGTTGGTTTTCTTCCGCCAGAGCTCAAACTGAGATCAGGCTTGGTGACAATTGTCATCTCCCCACTGAGCCATCCTGCTGGCCCAGGCTGATGCTTTTAGAGGACAGAGTCTCTAGTAGTTGGCCTGCTCTGGTGTGAAGGTCTTCCACCAGGCAGTATTTGTCAAACTCTTTCCTCTTGGCATCGCCTACCTTTTTGCCCCGCCCACCTTTTTGCTGAGCAGAAGGTATGCCTTCCCAGCTGGGATTCAAATAAATGAAGGCCAAAGGCCAGGGGACCCCTAGACTTCCTGTAGCTTTTTCACACATTTTCTTTCAGCCCCTTACATTTCTTCCCTGAAGACAGGAATTGCAACAGAATGCTCTAGATGATTCCAGCGTGCAGGGGAGAAGAGAGGAGGCAACATCAGAATTAAGCAGCGGTGATTAGCAGTATAGCAATGTGGGAGGCCACCAAGACTTTGTTTATTTAGAAACTGTGACAACTGGCCCTCCTTGGAGTTATGTGAGCATTAGACAATACAACCTGGGTGGGCAGCACACTGCCTGTTGTACACATTGTCTAACATATGTAAACTCTGTGTGTCTGGGTGGTGCCAAGTACTCTGGCTGGACCACAGCCAGCCAATATGTTAACTTACATAATTATTTCTCAGGTCTCACTAACTTGCTTGGGTCTGTCTTTGTAAAAGAGGGTTTGTCTCAGCCAGGTCTTTCCATGAGGGATTAAGGAATGATAAGATCTCTCTCTCTCTCTCTCTCTCTCTCTCTCTCTCTCTCTCTGTGTGTGTGTGTGTGTGTGTGTGTGTGTGTGTGTGTAAGAGAGAGAGAGAGGCTGTCTTGCTCTGAGCTGCAGAGTGCTTTACAGATACCAAAGGGACACTATTTGGTCACTTCCTCCTCCTGAGGCTGACCACCAAGGTCCAGCTATCAAAGTATTGAAGGCTAGTAATCAAAAGCCCCCTTTGGCTCTCCTAATTAACATGCCCAATTAAACACCTCATCCTAACATGGGGTTTCCCTTTTGCCTTTATAAACTGTCATTTTCCTATGTGCTAAGTCTGTCTCTCACTATCCAGTGGCAGTCCTTTGTTCCTCAGGGATAAATATCCCTGCCCCTTTCTCTTCTCCCCTCCCCCTTCTCCCTCATCTCCTATCTCCTTTACCACCACACCCTAGCCCATTCTCACACCGATCTCCCTGTCTTCTTCTCTTAAGGATGACTCCTGCAGGGTTATTTGCTGCCGTTTTTTTTTTTTTTTTTTCTGCCTGAGTCAGAAAGCAACCACTTTAACTTTTCTTCCCCACTTAATAAAGGATTTCTCTGTGAAAACAGGTGTTTGGGTGTGGTCTGTGCCTAATCTGGGGTCCGGGAGGAAGATCCCGATGTGCAGGGGTCTCCTTCAGATATGAAGTGAGGTATTATTTGGATCCCGTAGGAAATGGTACCCAGAGCCTGAATTCCTGGCACACAGACTCTGGCTTGGAATGAAACCAGACAAAACTCAAAAGACCTCATACTCATTTCTTCCCCGTCCTCCAAGAGCCTGGGACGAAGTTTTCTGGTTTTATTTTAACTACAGCTAAGTGCATGAATTTTAAGCACTCAATGAGTTTTAATGACTATCAGTGTATCATTCAAATCAAAATAAAGGACATTCCTAGTACGGGAGGCGATTTCCCCTCTTCCCACCCTGCCCCCCACCCAAAGGTGACTTCTGACCTTTACTACCATCAGGCTTTGCTGAGTTTCTTCTTTTCTTGTTGCCTTTCATTTTATCTTCTTTCCCAACTTCCTTCTCCCTCCCTCCCTCTCTCCCTCCCTCTAGCCTACAAAATATCTCCATGTTTTCACATGGCCACACTGCTCATTCTTTTCCCCCCTGAAGCTGTTGTTCCCAGAAATATAAAACAACACATCTATGCGTTCTACTGTCCAAACAGAGCTAGGATGGTAAGCACGTGGAACTGCTGGACGAGAAAGGCAGGCAAATATCTAGCTTCACAAGAGTATTGCCTGGGTGCCTGCGAACACTTGACACACCCTAGTTTTTGAACATGTCACAAAGGAGCTTCTCCATTGGAGTATTCCCTATGGTCTTTCGGAAGAAGAGGAGCTCGATACGCTCAGCAGTGATGAACCTCAAAGATGGAAGCAGGAGGAGCAATTTCCCAAACCTGAACAGGAGGAAGGATGCTGTCAGGCTTAGGGCCAGCTGCTGAGCAAGGCCATCAGGGAGGGGAGGGGGTGAGAGATGCCCAGAGCAAGCAGGGGGCATTTCAGGGAAAGGTCTCCGAGTTAGAGGGCTCACTTCCACCTTCCCATTGGTTAGGAGCATGAAGAAGACAGGGAGTCGATAATATTGTTCATTATGTTGTCAAGATTATAAAGTGAGAAGTTATTTCTTTGCAACATGCATGTGGGGTGTGTGTATTGAATACATGTTCACTGCGTTGAGTGCTTATATATTCTGGTGGAAGTTGAGGTCAAGTGTCTTCCTGGTCCACTCTCCACTTTATATACCAAGATAGGGTCCCTTGCTGAACTGGAAGCCAACCAATT